AAAAAAAAAAAAAAAACTATTTATTTCAAAAACAATCCGACTAAAATATGAAGGCACTTGAAAGGATACACTCCAAAAATACACATCATCTAAAAATAACTCATATCTTGGCTAATTTCTTTATATGGGGGGAGAGCTGTGTCTATGTGGATCCCTCTCTCTCCCTCTCCTTCCCTCTCTCTCTGCCAGGGCCCAGGTGTATTCCTTCTGCACTGATAATCTCTCTCCACATAAACCAGCCTGCTCTGAAACAAGCAGCCCAATGCACCGGTAGGCACAGGAGATGAAGATGCTGGGCCTTTTGCCAGATCTTGCATCAGGAAAGAGGCCACCCGGGCTGGAGGGCACAGGTGCCTGGAATCGGGATTTCTATCTGCTACTGACAGACTAGGGAGGCTGGCGAGGACCAAGCTCAATTCAGCTTCTCGGATTTGGGCTTGGCACACATGTATCATCACTGTCCTACTCCTGGAGCCTGAAGGGTTTCGCCTGCCCACTTCATGTTGGTCATTAGAGAAGACTGGTGCTGCAGAGCAATGCACTCTCAGACCAACACTAAATCGAGTTTCTAGGAAACATGAGCGATCAAGTCTGAGCAGAATCTAATCATTCATTCCAAAGCAGGTTAATTTGTTCTTTATATGTTCACATCAACAATGTCACAATGATTTGGGCTCAACATCCCAGGATTGTGGAAGGCAGCCAGCCTTGGTGTTCCAGGGGGTGTGCTTTGAAGCTCTAGATTATTTGCTCTTTGTGAATACTTACAGCGACCGGCCTTCCCTATGCGCTCCTGGCAAGAACCATTTGAGGGGGACCTTAGTAGTGATTCTTGAGGAAACAATGCACTGAGGTGGTCAGTGCTAATGGACAGTCACTCCAGGCAACAGTGGCCATCCACTTCTTTTACACAGTCCCCAGCTCATGTAGTGGCACCGTCAACCATCTAAAGTCAAACCTGGGCACTAACCCAGATGCTACCGTCTTCACTGTCCCACATCCAACACAGCCCATTTCAATTCCTAAGTATCTCTCACACCCATCCCAACTCACCGTTTCCACTGTCAATACCCTCATCCGCTCTAATTTCCTTCAGCTCATTGAGAAAAAAGTTCAAAATGAGGCCAAGGAAGGGAGGAAGCACCTCTGCACCCCAGGAAGGTGCTGCAGTCTCCCCCATAGTCCCTGCTCCATTCCTGCAGAGAAAACCTGGCATCACAGAATGTCAGATCCTCCCTATGTCTCAGCATCTGACTCAACCCATCACCCAAAAGTGAACCCAGCACCCAGGAGAGAGACTTGCCTGAAGGGTTTTCCCTGAGAACCACTCAAGGTAGGAAGCAGAAAATCAAAAGCCCCGTCCCAAGGAGAATGAGAAGGCAGTTGGGAAACTCAGCTAAGAATCTGGCATGAGTCTGCAGGGGTAAAATGCTGATGG